GAGATTTTGCTACATATCTAAAAAATTTTAATTTTTATTATAATTAGGACATACAAAATTAAATAATTATTTCTTATTATATAAAATTCTAACTTCTCACCTAGCTTTTAATTTTTAAGTCATAAAAAGTTTATAAATTTTTTTTATTTAAAATATATTTAAACTATATATAAAAATTTTTACTAAAAACTACCTGAAAGTATTATAGTAAATAACTTATAAAATTTTGTGACAAAACTGATCTAGCTGGGTTATAAAAAACAACTAATTAACTTTATATAGCCTTAAATATATTTATCTTTTTCTATACTTAATACAGAATATTAACATTAAGCTTAAAAAATATTATACTATAGAACTTAAAACTGATTTTGTCAAAATAAATAATCTGTTGAATCTGATAAAAAAATCAATTATTTATAATATTTTCAAATCCAATAACCACTCAATACTATTAGTATTTATATACTATGTATTATCAGTTTTGAGAAATTCAACAGTTTTTAAGTATCCTAATTAAGTAAATACTGTAAACCTTCCAAAATTGATATGCATAGTAAATGTATCATGAAAGGTTATCAGATTTAAAAACATTATATAAACTATTAGATTTATATAATAGAAATGGACTTGGTAGACTAATTCTTTATCAAATTTAACAGGTTATTAATTTTAAGAAGATTATTTTTGAAAGGTTCAACAGTATATTGTTAAGTGTTTACCTAGCTGCTTGATACTCTCTAGCAGAATCAGAAACAAAAGCTTTAATCTTTATATTCTTGCTTTGAGCATTAGTCATTAAATTTTTTATAAGTCATATAACAGCTTCTGTGTGTGACCTTTGTGAACTAATTTCTTGTGCTTTCTAAACTAATAGTTGTTCCTGTGAAGTAATCAAAACTACACCTCAGATATGTTCATACTTCACATTAGTCCAACTATCAAATGTTGTAGTAACACTATTTTTATCATTTTGTGCAATTTTTAAAATTTCATCTTGCAGGTTTTTTGATGCTTCAGTTAATACTCTTCCTCCTAATATTTTATGTTTTGGCAAATTAAAACCAGGCATAATAAAGTCAAACAATGCTTTTGTTTCTTTATTTTCTATAAAAGAAAATGAAATTCTATTGGAAATACATATTTTAAGTACTAAGTGTTTAAAATAAGGTATGCCTTTGCTTAATAATGGATACTGAAAACAATTAGATGTTTTACTAATATTCGAAGAATCAGTAGTAATTAAATTTTTTTGGCATTTAGAAGATAAACTATGACTTTTATCTTTATTCAATAATAAAATAATTAATGATTGCTGTATAGTAATTGTTAGTTATACCATATTGCATCAAAATAGTACTCTTAATGTAGTTTAAAATTTGCTAAATTAAGCTTAATTTAGACCAAAATTTTAAACTACAACCAGGGTGTTATTTCGAGACAATACAGTATATAATGTTAACTTGTAGTTTTTCCTTTAACTACAATGATATCAGAAGCTGCTCAACTATAGTATAATGACTATAACTTGACAGGTTCTATTCAAAAGTCTACACAAGACTTAACACAATACAGAGTGATTTGAGATTTTAAGGCAGAGGCAACAATAAATAGTATATGAAGATACTAAATATTGCATTCAGTTTATTCACTATTGAAATG